ATATTTGAATTAAACATTTTTGATAAATAAATTAAATGTAATTTTTAATGTAATTGTTAATGGTAATTTTTATTCTATTTTTTATTTTATCAAACTTATTATGTACTGAATCAAAATTATTATGTTTAATTCAAAAATAATTTTTGGTTCACTGTTTTTATTAATTAATTAATTTATTATTTTATTTTTAATTTATTTATTATGTTTGATTCAAATATATTGTTTTCTCAGTGTAAGTAATAGTAATTATTAATTTAATTAATTTAACAATAAATAAAATTAATGGAAAATTTTTATTAGCTATGATTTGATATTAGTGTGTGAGGAAAATAAATGCGATAGGTGCTGAAATACTTAAATGTGGGCAGTAAAATTGTGTGATATGTGAATATTAAAAAACAGGAGGCATTTCATTTCCTAGAGGAGAGAAGTAATTATGTAGCGACTCGTCTGTTTCTGTATAGGACATTAAAATGTTTTGCGGTTGACGTTAACAGTCACATACGAATATATATATTATGAATATATGAAATATTAGCTATCTGTATTATAAGCAACCAATTCCTAATAATAGATATTTATCACTTTCAATTTCTATTTTGAATTTCAATCTAGAAAATAAAAATTATAATTAAAAATCAAAAATAAAATTCACTGTAATTTTTTTAAACATTTTTTTCTTTCGTTTTTCCCTTCTTGCAACTAGGAAAAATTAATTAAATTTTCAAAGTATAAATTTTTTCTGCTTTTCTTCTGCAAGTACAACTGTGACTCTATATCTATTTCCAATTTCAATTTACAGAATAAAAATTATAATTAAAAAACAAAATAAAATTCACTACAATGTATTGACAGTTTTTTCATATTCTTTTATTTGAAGAGGGAAAAACTAATTAAATTTTCAAGTTTTTATTTGCTTTTTTTGCAAATATAAAATGCCATTGTTTTTTTTTATTTAAAAACATTTTTCCCCACAATAGAGGAATAAAATCCATTTCGTATTATTTTGAATGAAATTGCCTTGAATGTATTTTCATATTTGTCTGAAAAATTTTAACTTTTTTATATTTTTTTTATTCAAAAATGATACAAGAGGCATTCCAGATGAAATTTTCATTAAAAATTTATTTTTGTTTTGAACACTTTTTCCCGAATTTTGTATGAAAAATAAAAAATAAGTTTTTTTTTATTTTGTTATTGGATGAAAATTTTGATTTTTTTAAATTCAACTTCAAAATAAAAAAAAAAAATTTTTAAATTGAATACATTATACAGAATTTTATCAAAATTTTTGAAAATAATTGATTTCTTTCCAAAAATTTAAACAAAATTTTGGAAAATACATAATTACATTTTTCGATAAATTTATTTAAAATTGTATTAAAAATAATTGAAATCCGGTGAAGAATTTTATTATTTATAAAAATAATTATATTCTTACGAAGGATTTTATTAAAATTTTTGTAAATAATACAATTTTTTTGAATCATTTTATGAAAATTTAAAAGAACATTTCAATTATTTCGAATAATTTAATAAAAATTGTGTTAAAAATAATTGAAATTCTTTGATGAGTTTTATTATTTATGAAAATAATTACTTTAATTGTAAAATTATTCGAAAACTCTACGAGAATTTAATTATTTAAATACAAAAATAAATAATTTATTAATTAAACGTTTCTTAAAATTGAATTCTCATAAAGATCTTTATTAAAAAATTTTTATAATTGACTTCTTTTGACGAATTTTAATACAATTTTTAAGAATAATTACATTCTTCAAAAAAATTAAATTAAAATTGTATTAAAAATATTTGAAATTCTGAGATGAGTTTTATTATTTATAAGAATAATTGAAATCCTAAAAAGAATTTTATTATTTATGAAAATAATTGAATTATTGCGAAGAAATTTATTTAAAAAATTTGTAAATAATTGAATTTCCATGAAACTTTTATTATTTATGAAAATAATTAAATGTTTGCGTAGAATTTTATAAAAAATTTTTTTTAAATTATTGAATTCTTTTTGAAAATTTTATTGAAACAGTAGATATTGAAAATCATTGGGTTGGGGAAATTTTTTTTAAATAATTGAAATTTTACCAACCATTTTATTAAAATTAGTCAAAATAATTTAATACTTTCGAAGAATTTTAATATAATTCTTGAAAATAATTTAATTATTTCGAAGAATTTATTTAAAATTGTATTAAAAATAATTGAAATCATGAAAAAAATAATTTAATTATTGTTGCAAAGGATTTTATTAAAATCTTTGTAAATAAAATTGAATTTTTGCGAAAAATTTAATTAATTTTTTTTAAATAATTGAATTCTTTTGAGAAATTTTAATAAAAAGGTAGATTTTAAAAATATTTGAAATGCAGCGAAGAATTTTATTATTTGTGAAAATAATAGAATTCTTGCAAAAAGTTTTCCAAAAAATTTTGAAAATAATTGAATTGTTTCAAAGAGTTTTAAGAAAATGCTTAAGAATAATTTTTTTATTTAAACTATTAGCAGATTTAAAGTAGTGCAAATTTTCAAAAAAAAAAAAAGATAAAAAAATTGAATCCAAAAAAAATTGTTCTGAACAAAAACAAATTTTTAATGAAAATTTCACCTGAACTGCCCCTTGTATCATTTTTGAATTAAAAAAATATAAAAAAGTTAAAATTTTGCAGACAAATATAAAAATACATTCAAGGCAATTTCATTCAAAATAACACGAAATGGATTTAATTCCTCTATTGTGGGGAGAAATTTTTTTAAATAAAAAAAAACAATGGCATTTTATATTTGCAAAAAAGCAGATAAAAACTTGAAAATTTAATTAGTTTTTCCCTCTTCAAACAAAAAATAAAGAAAAAAAAAACTGTCAATATATTGTAGTGAATTTTATTTTGATTTTTAATTATAATTTTTATTCTATAAATTGAAATTGGAAATAGAGATTGTTTTCTTATTCTTATTCAAAATGATTAAAAATAATTTCACATATAAAAAAGTGTAAATAAATGTATGTAAATTGAAGAAATATGAATATATAAAAATATAATAAATTTCATTTATATTATGGATATGGATATGCTATTTTGTAAATTTCAATCATTTATACATATATACATCCGTCAGGTATAGATACTGACTGGAATATCGATCAGCGGCGTGAACTGCATCGCGAATGAATTTTAGAGGAGAGATAAAATTGAAAGAGACACTTAAAAAGCACAGAGGCAGGAAATATTTAATAGTGTTTAGTTGAGAATCCTGAATCAGCAATTATCCCAAACGTAAACAATCAAATTTAAATGACCAAATAGCAAATTGCTCCGACAAACAAGATCATTAATGACAAATTGAATGGAGGGAAATTTAATTTTTCCTTTTGAAAACTTTAATGTGAAGAGAAATTCAAATTTTCCAAGCTATGAATTTATAATTATTAAAAAAAATAATAATAAAGAGAATTTCTGTTTTGTATTTTAATATTTTTCTCTTTACATTCAAAAAGGTTTTTCGAAAAAATATTTTATATTATTATTATTATTAATATTTTATATTAAAGCGAAATTAAAATTTACTTTCTATAAACAAAATAGATAAATTGATTATAAAATATTGTTTTTATGACTAAAACTACTGAAATTGGGTAAAAAAAACTTATTTCTATGGAGAAAATAATAATTGAGTTCAATTTTAAATCGTATTTTAGTAAAAAATAGGATTTTATTTTTCGTTTTTTATTTTTTTTGAGGGAAAACGAATGATTTTTGGACCCTCAGTGAAAAGTGTGACCCGTTATATAACAGCAAATACATAGTTCGAAGGATTTGCTTTTACATTGAAATGTAATTTTTTTTGTATGTGGAAAAGCAAGTTTGTGCTTTTTAAAAGCTGAATAAGGATTGGTGGGAAATTTTCGTGAGAAAGCACCAGATGTATAACAGGTTTCAAAAATTTTAGCTCTATCCTCTATAAAATGCTTTTTGAAACTGGAAAACATTTTCCATCAGCTACTTCATACCAAAAAATAAAAAAAATTCGAAATTTTCAACTCTTATCTTCTATTATAATACTTTTTGGAATATTACAAATAATTTTCGAGTTTGCTAAAATTTATAATTCTGATAAATAATAAGTGCAAGATTTGATATTAATTATTTGTTTGAGGTTTGTAGTCAAAGAAAAAAAAACAAAAAAAAACCAGAAATAGTAAATGAAAAAGAAAACTACTAATGTTTTCTTTTTCATTTACTATTTCTGGTTTTTTTGTTTTTTTTTCTTTGACTACAAATCCCAAACAAGCAAAAAGGAAATAAATTAACAGTAATAAAATAGTAAAAAAAAAAAAAAAAAAAAAAAATAGAAGAAATAAATAAAAAGTAATAATAAAAATAATATGCAGTAATTTTACTATATTTCAACTATGAATATTAATTCTGCGGTTCGTGAAATGATTATTTATTAGTAACTTCAAATAACTTGGCTCATAACTAAAACGCAAACAGTTTATCGATTAACGTCTCTTGTGTACAGATGATGTTGATATTGAACATCTAATTAAGTTTTTGATTTATATAACTAGCCTATATGAAAAAATCACCTGTTGAGATATTTTCGCCACAAAAATAATTTAGTAATTAATAAAAATTAATTAGTAAAAATTAAAAAATAAAAATTCTAAAATTCATTCTGAATCAATTTGAAATTCTCGTCAAGAAAAAACAAAGACAGTTTTTTTTTCTACAGCCTGTAAAATGATTTTTTTTTTATAATAATTTGTGTAGAATATAAAAATTTTGAAACTACAAATTCGATAAAAGAAAACATTAATAGAAAAAAAAATGAAGAAATGATTTTTTTTTGCTTAAAAAATAAATGAATAGAAAATAAAAATTGAAATTTCAGTGATTTCAGGGTCGAATGTTCATCTATAATGTTATAACCCCTATAAATAGTGCTTTCTCGTACTTCTAAATTATCTGTGTTTACAGTTTGCACCGATGGCTTCCAATGCGACTCAACTAGATGCATTCCCGTTGATTGGAGATGCGATGGACACGTGGATTGTGCTGATCAGTCGGACGAAATTAATTGCGGTGAATGTGGACAAAATTCAATGGTCACGACAAAATTCACTAATAAAAAGGGGAAAAAGAATAGTTCAAAAAACTCTTTTCCCGAATTGCCAACACTTCATTGCGGTCAAAGGCGATGCATGTCATCTGGACATGTTTGCAATGGAATCATGGATTGTCCCTGGGGACAGGACGAACGAAATTGCTGTAAGCTTTCATCAAATTTCAATTAAATAAATTATAACATTTTATATTATCAAGAATAAATCTCAATTTTTTAATGATTACAAATTTAAAATTTAATGAATTCACTCATTAAGTACATAATATATTAAATATTCTTGTTTATTATTTTAATTTTAAATTTTAATAAAATTTCTCGAAAGAATACAATTATTTTAAAAATTATTAATTAAATTCGATTATTTTCAAGAATTTTAGTACCTATAAATTCAATTATTTTCAACAATTTTGATGAAATTCTTTTTCAAAAAATCATTATTTTCAAAATATTTAATAAAATTCCTTCAAAAAATTCAACTATTTTCAAAAATTCAGATAAAATCCTTCGTATCAATTCATTATTATTATTATTATTCATTTTTAAATCAATTTTTATTAGAAAATTCTACTAGAATTCAATTACAATTAATAATTATAATTAATTAATAATAATTAATAATAATTAAATAATTAAATAATTTTCATAAATAATAAAATGTTTCGAAGGAATTCCATTATTTTCAATTCAATTTTAATAAAATTTCTCGAAAGAATACAATTGTTTTTAAAAATATTGTTTAAATTCAATTATTTTAAAGAGTTTTTAATAAAAATTTAATTACTCTCAACAATTCTGATTACAATTCAATTACTTATATATTAATATTCTTTCAATATTATTTAAATTCAATTATTTTTATGAATGGTAAAATCTTGCTCAAGAATTAAATTATTCTCATAAATATGAAAATTCTTCGCAAGAATTAAAATATTTTCATAAAAAATAAAATTCTACAAAGAAATTCAATTATTTTCAATACAATTTGAATAAAGTTTCTTGAAAAAATACAATTATTTTTTAAAATATTGTTTAAATTGAATTATTTTTCAGAGTTTTAATAAAAATTCAATTATTTTCAACAATTCCGATAAAAAATTCTAATTCAAATTTCTGATTCAATTCTTCTTATAAATTGTAAAATTCTTGGCGAGAATTCAATTATTTAAATATTATTTAAATTCAATTATTTTTTAAGAGTTTTTAATAAAAATTCAATTATTTGCAACAATTCAATTTTTTTGATAAATTGTAAAATTGTAAAATTTCTGTTACAGGTTCAATTATTTTTAAAAATTGTAATAAAATTTTTGGGACGCATGATTATTCCCCAAATGTCATTTTTCCGAAATGTCATTTTACCGAACTGCACTTTTGCGAATAGTCATTTTTGCGAAATGTCATTTTTACGAATAGTCATTTTTGCGAAAAATCATTTTTACGAATTTTCATTTTTGCGAATTGTCATTTTTGCGAATCGACATTTTTACGAATTGTCACTTTTGCGAATTGACATTTTTACGAATCGCCATTTTTACGAATTGTCACTTTTCCGAAAAGTCATTTTTGCGAATCGTCATTTTTGCGAAAAATACAATAGTAAACTTGTAGGTATATATAGATTCACTATTGTATTTTTCGTAAAAATTACTTTTCGCAAAAATGGCTTTTCGCAAAAATGACATTTCGTAAAAATGTCGATTCGCAAAAGTGACAATTCGTAAAAATGGCGATTCGTAAAAATGTAAATTCGCAAAAGTGACAATTCGCAAAAATGACATTTCGTAAAAATGTCGATTCGCAAAAGTGACAATTCGTAAAAATGGCGATTCGTAAAAATGTCAATTCGCAAAAGTGACAATTCGTAAAAATGTCGATTCGCAAAAATGACAATTTGCAAAAATGAAAATTCGTAAAAATGATTTTTCGCAAAAATTGCTATTCGCAAAAATGGCTTTTCGCAAAAATGACATTTCGCAAAAATGGCTTTTCGCAAAAATGACTATTTGCAAAAGTTTGTTCGGTAAAATGACATTTCGGAAAAATGACATTTGGGGAATAACCATGCGTCCCAAATTATTCTCAACAATTCAATTGTTCTCAAAAGTTGAACATAATTTAATAAAAAAAATCGTTAATTACAATTAATAATAATAAACATGAATATTTTAAAAATTTAAAAGAAATTCTTCTTAAAATTCAATTATTTTCAAAATTTTCAGTAAAAATTATTTTTAAAAAACTCCTTTATTTCCAAGAAAATTGAAATAAATTCTTCAAAACAATTCAATTGTTTTAAAGAATTTTAATAAAAATTTTGCAAAGAATTAAATTATTTTCAATATAATTTTAATTACATTTTCTCGAAAGAATTCAATTATTGAAAAAGATGTTGATAAAATTCTTGAAAAGAATTTTGTCAATTATTTTCAAATTTTTTTTATAACTACATCGACAATTTAATTATTTCTGAAGATGATTGAATTTTTGAATAGAATTTTATTAAATTTTTTTTAAATAATTGAGGGCTCGGATCGAAGAGCCGACGCTTGTAAACCCACAGAACATTGCGAAGCGTCGGTTCTTCGATCTGAGCCCTCAATTGAATTTTTGCAAAATTTTTAAAAAATAAGTGAATTTTTGAGATGAATTTTATTAAAATTGTATTTAAAATAATTGAATTCATGTAGAAAATTGACTATTTATTGATATTATTGAATTCTTTCGATGTTTTTGAAAATAATTGAATTCTTCGTAAAATTCAATTATTTTCAAATTTTTTTTATAAATACTTTACAAGAATTGAATGATTTTCAGTAAATTAATTTATAAATTTTAAATACAAGGAAAAATACTTCTCTTGGAACAGTAATAAGTTTCTTTGGAACAACGAAACTTTTAGCTGAAACAACTTAAAATTTCGCTAATATAGCGAAATTTGTAACTGTTCCAGTCAAATTTTTTTTCAGTGTATAATTATTTTTATTATTAATTTAATAATTATTATTTTTATTATTATTAATATTAATAAGTAAATAAATATTATTTTTATTGTTATTATTATTACCTTAGCTTCTAAACTCATTTACCTAATGATTACAATTATTTCACTAAATTATAATCGCTTTATTCTATCAATATAATTGTGGTTAATTTAATAACAATGAAATTAGTTGAAATATTGTTTCCGCAAATATTTGTCTATTATATGTGCAACTCAAGTGTGAATATCCGCCAGTAGATAAGGTCATTATTTGTCAGATATTTTCCTATTGATTCTGCAATTATCCAAATCCATTCAATTTTATGACGAATTTTCCTTTAGTTTGTTTCAATACATTATATATCAAAATTATTATAAAAAGGTTTGTAGTTAAAAAATAATATAAGTTGTAGAAATATTCATAAACAACCATAAAAATTTCAACTATAATTAACGATAATAATTACTATTTGTATTAATAAAAATAATTTTTATTTTCTAATCTTAAATTTTAATATCTACTACAATTATATTTATGAATTTGGTAAATAAAATTATATTTTTCGTAATAATTGAAAAATAGTTTCTTTATGGTTTTCTTTTTCTATATGAGATAATGGAAAAATATTTTCTAAATGAATTTTCCCTGGTACTGGAGATTTTTTTTTCTCTCTTTTTTTTTAAATGTGATTTCACAAAGAATTTAAGTTTTGTTTTTTCCTTTTTTTGATATTGATAATTTCTATATATCTATAGTGAGATTAAGCGAGGAGAATGGAGATATTGGAAGAGGAAGACTGGAAGTATATCATGCAGCTGAAGGAACATTTCTTCCTGCCTGCATTAAGTATTGGGAACACAATTCAGCGCAGATTATTTGCTCTATGCTGGGATATACGTAAGTTTCATATTAAAGATTTTATAATATAAAGATCATCCAATATTTATAATCCAATATCCAAATCTCTTTCTGTAAATAATGCAGAAAATCCTCTCAATGAATGTGAACATTTTTAATTAGTTAAAATATATAGATGATCCCCAATAAATATTTATAAATAAACTTATAAAATTAAATTTAAAAGGAAAAATTACATATATTTAAAAATACATTAACTTTCTGTTAAATAAATAAATAAATAAATAAATAAATAAATGAACACAATGAACGAAATAAATAAATAACTGGAATAAATTTATTCATTTACTAAAAAAAATATAACTTTTTTTGGCTATCAACTCACTTTGACAAAGTTCACAAAGTTTATAATTATTAGGTTTAAAAAAAATATTTTTCTATTTAAATTCATATTTTTGTTGAAAAAAAAGTTTTGCATAGTTTATTTATTATTTTTAAGAATTTTTCACTAAATCAATGAATTTTCGAAAAAGTTTTTCGACAATTTTCAAAATCCATTTATTTACAATATTCAATTTTATATAAATTTCAATTATTCGTAAATTCTTTACTTAAATATACATTAAAAAATTAACGCTTCAAATATAAATAAATTCAATTAAACTTTTTTAAAAAAATTCATTTCAAAATTCAATTATTTATAAAAATTCACGCTATATTGCTTTTAATATTCAATTATTATCTAAAATTTTAACTGAAATTAATTTTTAAATCAATTTTTATTAAAAAATTCTCTACTAGAATTCAATTATTTAAATACAAAAATAAATAATTTATTGAAGAATTGAATGTTTCTTAAAATTCAATTCTCATAAAGAATTTTATCAACATATTTTTAAATAATTGAATTCTTTCGAGGATTTTTAATAAAATTTTTAAAAACAATTACATTTGCCGAGAAATTTTATTAAAATTTTATTACAAAATAATTGAAATTCTGCATTGAGATTTATTATTTATAAAAATAATTGAATTCCTAAAAATAATTTTACTATTTTTGAACATAATTAAATTTCTGCGAAGGATTTTATTACTCTTGAAAACAATTCAATTTGTAACTTCTTAAAAATTAAATTTTTTTAAGTGTTAACTAAAATTTTTCTATAAATCCATTATTTTTAATAATTTTTGAAAAAATTTTTTGTGAATTTTCAAATTCATTTGTTTTTAACTGAAATTTATTTTTAAATCAATTTTTATTAATAAATTCTACTAGAATGCAATTATTTAAATACAAAAATATATATTGAATATTAATTGAATGTTTCTTAAAATTTAATTTATATAAAGAATTTTATCAACAAATTTTTACATAATTGAATTCTTTCTGCGATATTTAATAAAATTTTTAAAAACAATTACATTTTCCGAGAAATTCAATTAAAATTGTATTACAAAATAATTGAAATTCTACATTGAGTTTTATTATTTATAAAAATAATTAAATTCCTAAAAAGAATTTTATTGTTTAGAAAAATAATTAATTCCCTGTAAAAGTTTTATTATTTATAAAAATAATTGAATTATATTGCAAAAGAAATTTATAGAAAATTTGTAAATAATTGAATTTCTGTGAAATTTTTTTATTATTTTATGAAAATAATTAAATGTTTGCGTAGAATTTTATAAAAAATTTTTTTAAATAATTGAATTCTTTTGAAAAATTTTATGATTAAATCATAGATATTGAAAATCATTGAATTGATGAAATTTTTTGGAAATAATTGAAATTTTGCATAGAATTTTATTAAAAATTTTTTGAAAATAATTGAATTTCAGAGAAGAATTTTATTATTTATAAAGATAATTGAAATTTTGATGAGAATTTTTAAAAAATTTTGAACATAATTGAATTTTTGCGAAGAATGTTTATTGCTTTTGAAAATAATTGAATTTCTACGATCATTTTATAATTTCTCTAAAATTCTCCAAATTATATCGTACAATTTACAAACTTTTCGAGCCATTTAGTAACCATTTACAATAATATAATTTGTTAAAAAAATTATTTTACAAAATTTATCTTCTTTCGAATTAAAAATCATTAAAATTTAGTAGAATTCATGTAGAAATTCTATAGAACTTTTGCAGCTGGGATAATAATAAAAAGAAATGAAAAATAAGTTTAATTACACAAAAACAAAAATTTATTCTTCTTTTTATTATTGTTTATTTATATATAATAAAAAAGAAAATAAATTATTTAATAAATAAGTTATAATTATAAAATATGAATTTTTATTTCGTAATAAAAAGGAATAAAAGGTAAATTTATAATTATTGAAAAAAATAAATTTATTCTCTTTATTTATTTATTTACCTAGTTTCAAGAAGAAAAGAAAATAACTTTTATAAATTGCCTTCCTCCAATATGTTTAGAATTGCAAATTCATCGATCCTGCTGGGGAAATCAAGTGACAATGACTCGTTTATTGAACCTAAACTACAAACATCCGGACAATGGAGGGGAATTCTCAACACCAAAGTAAATCTGTTGAGAGAATTTCAAGAATGCGAAAATCCATGGGATCATTCGACTGTCGAGCTGTCCTGTTCTCAATACGGTATTTCATTTAATACTTATTTTCCCAGCAATGGCCTCGAAAAATCCTACTGCATTTTACATAATACCTTCTCTCTCTTTCTCTCTCCCACTAGTTTCTAAAAATGTATTTTCTTTTCTTGATATAGAGATAAATACCAAAACGATCAAGATTCAATTTTGTGCTTCTCTTTTTTTCTCCCCTTTCTTTCATAAAGTCCTTTTGTGAATCTTATATTGTTACTGAATTTATTCAGAATCTTATTATAGGATTTTATTTTTCTTATGAAAGAGATAATTAAGTGACACATCTTTAATTCATAAATATATGTATATAAATTGGATAAAAGTTATATTTGCAAATCCTATTGAACTTTTTTTTATTCCCATTAGCGTGCGGTCGAAGGAATATAGTTTATGGCCATTCAAATATTAAAACGAGAATTGTGGGAGGCGTTGAATCATCTCCTGGGGATTGGCCTTTTCTTGCTGCACTTCTGGGAGGTCCGGAAGAAGTTTTTTACTGTGCAGGAGTCCTTATATCAGATCAATGGATACTCACTGCTTCTCATTGCGTTGGAAAGTGAGTATTGATCATTAATTTCATTTCATGTCATTCGTACGTTCGTTCGTCAATTCATTTCTGTGAATTATATGGTCAACTTGTTTCTTTACTAATTAACATTTCTTCCATTTCTTCCATTTTTTTTTTTTTTTGACTTAATTAAAAAAAGAAATTCTTTTATTCTTTTTTCTTTTTAATTTTCCTCTTCTTTTTCCTTTTTTTTAGTAATTTTTTCTTTGTTAATTAACATTCCGATATTTTCGCTTGAAAAAAAATTCCTTTCTTCTATATTTTGCCCCCTTTTTTTAATTAATATTTCGATGTTCTATTTAGAACAAAAATTTTCTTTTCTAAGCTTTTTTCTCTTTTTCCTTCTTATTACTTTTTATTTTTTAAATTTTATCTTTGTAAATTAACATTTCGATATTTTCACTTGAAAAAATAAAATTTCCTTGTTTTATACTTTTTTCTCTCTTTCCTTGTTAAATTAACATTTCGATGTTAATTCAGAACATTAAATTTAGAAAAGAATTTTCTGATAATTTTCTTTTCTCTTCCTTATGTTTGATAATAATTTTTCTTTGTAAATTAACATGTTTTACTTTTCATTTGGAAAAAAAATTCTCCTTGTAAACTTTTTTTTATCTTTTTCTTCCTCCTCCTCCTCTTTTCCTTTTTTCGTAACAATTTTTTTCTTTGTAACTTAACAATTTTGATATTTCCAGGGCTCGAACCAGTGAAAGTATTTAAAAATATGAACTTTACGGACCAAAAATGAAAAATTACGGACCAATTACTGACAAAAATATAACCAGTCCGAATCAAATAAGAGAACATTTTACTAATTTTACTTAAAACTATAAATTAAATTTTTCATAATTCATGTTTTATAATAATTAAAGATGACAGAGTGATAAAATCATTTATAATTCAATTATTATTTAAAAGAATTTTTAACTAAAATTCTTCTTTAAATCGATTTCTTTTAATAATTTTAGAAAAAGTTCTTTGACAATTTTCAAATCCATTTGTTTACAATTCAATTTTACATAAAATTTCGATTATTCGGGAATTCTTCAATTAAATATAATTATTATGAAATAAAAACTTCAATTAAATTTTTTGAAAAAAATTAATATTGTAAGCAAAAAGCATGAAAATTCAGATTTTGAAAGATTTTAATTTAAAACATTTTCAAAAATTCAATTATTTCTAAAAATTCTTCTTATAATGATTTTAATATTCAATTATTAACTAAAATTTTAAGAAAAATTTATTTTTAAATAAATTTTTATTAGAAAACTAATTACGTATTTCTTTAATTATAAAATTATTCGAAAACTCTATTGAATTATTTAAATACACAAATAAATAATTTATTGAAAAATTGAATGTTTCTTAAAATTGAATTCTCATAAAGATTTTTATTAACAAATTTTTATATAATTGACTTCTTTTGACGAATTTTTATACAATTTTTAAGAATAATTACATTCTTCGAGAAATTAAATTAAAATTGTATTAAAAATAATTGAAATTCTGCGATGAGTTTAATTATTTACAAGAATAATTAAAATCTTATAAAGAATTTTATTATTTCTGAAAATAATTGAATTATTGCGAAGAAATTTATAAAAAAAAATTTGTAAATAATTGAATTTCTATGAAATTTTTATCATTTATGAAAATAATTAAATGTTTGCGTAGAATTTTATAAAAAAATTTGTTTAAATAATTGAATTCTTTTTGAAAATTTTGTTAAAATAGTAGGTATTGAAAATCATTAAATTGAGGATAATTTTTTAAAATAATTAAAATTCGCAGAAGAATTTTATTATTTATAAAGATAATTAAAATTTTGAAGAAGTTTTTAAAAAAATTTTCAACATAATTAAATTGCTGCGAAGAATTTTATTACTTTTGAAAATAATTGAATTTCTACAATCATTTGTAATTTCAAGTTTTCAAAGATTTTAATCTGAAACCTTTTCAAAATTCAATTATTTCTAAAAATTTACGCTCTAATGCTTTTCAAATTCAATTATAATATAAAATTTTAAATGAAATTCAATTTTTAAATCAATTTTTATAAGAAAATTCTATTAGAATTGAATTATTTAAATACAAAAATAATAATTTATTGAATAATTGCATGTTTCTTAAAATTGAATTTTCATAAAGAATTTTATCTGTAAATTTTTAAATAACTGAATTCTTTTGACGAATTTTAATAAAATTTTTAGGAATTTTTACTAGGAATTCGATTACAATTATTGTATTGAAAATAATTGAAATTCTGAAATGTGTTTTATTATTTATGAAAATAATTAAATTCCTAAAAATAATTTTATTATTTACGAAAATAATTGAATACCAGTAAAAATTTTATTATTTATGAAAATAATTGAATGATTGGGAAGAAATTAATAAAAAAATTTGTAAATAATGAAATTCCTGTGAAATTTTTATTATTTTATGAAAATAATTAAATGTTTGCGTACAATTTTATCAAAAAATTTTTTAAATAATTGAATTCTTTTGGCAAATTTTATGAAAATAGTAGATATTGAAAATCATTGAATTGAGGATAATTTTTTAAAATAATCGAATTTCGGAGAAGAATTTAATTATTTCTAAAAATAATTGATATTTTGATGAGAATTTTAAAAAATTTTTGAACATAATTGAATTTCTGGGAAGAATTTTCTTACTTTTGAAAATAATTGAATTTCTGCAATCATTTGTAATTTCTCTAAAATTTTATCCAAATTATATCGTCCAATTTACGTACTTTTCATCTTTGTTGAATCAAATTACGAACTTTACGAACCTTTTTGCAATAAAACGGACTTTTACGGACTTCAAGCAAAGTTACGGATTTTTACGGGATTTACGGACCTAGTTTGAGCTTTGTATTTCCTTTTAGAAAAAATTCTTCTTTTCTTAGTTTTGTTCTACTTTTTCTTTTTTTTTTAACTTTTTTAAAAATTATTTTTGCCTCTCAAATAAATATTTCCAAATTTCCACTGAGAACAAAATTCCTTTTGTCTAAGTTTCTATTACTACTTTCTTTGTTTTTCTTCTTTTCTCCTTTTTCGATAATTTTTACTTTTTAAACTTAAAAAATTAATTTATATTTTTAATCAACATATAAAATAATAATTATTTATTTACATAAAATAGTAATTATTTCTTTATATCAAAGACAAGGTTTTAGTCTGTTAAACGTTTGAAAGATAAATAATATTTGTCAGTTTATTTTCTTTGTCAAGAATAATTTTTTATTCATCGAATATATCATTGTCATATTAATCGTTATCATTCATTCTCAATCATTTTCGACCGGCCTGTGCCAAGGACGAAATCTGGTAGTTTTAGTCAATCTGAAGTCTCTGAATGGACAATTCAGTTGGGAATTACCAGGAGATTCGCTCACACCTACTTGGGACAAAAGCTCAAATTAAAACGCGTTGTTCCGCATCCGAGTTACAACTTGGGAGTCGCACACGACAACGATGTTGCTCTCTTCCAGGTAATTTTAATTATTTATTTGTTTATTTATTACAACAAAAAATCCCACGATAATTGTATAATCATGAATATAATTTTTTTTACTTTAAATTATTTATTTTATTTTTCGTTACATTCTGTTAGTTTATTAACGTAATTCATTAACATTTAATAAATTCATTTAATTAATGTAACATTAATATATTAACATATAATTAATTTACATTAACAATAAAACTATTTCCGAAAATCGAAACTTTAAAATTTTAAAAAACACCTCGCCGTTGAGAATCGAACCCTGGACCTTGATATTACAAGTCGAGTACATTAGCCACTTGGCCATCTCACTCAACAATTAGTAAAACTTAAAAATTACGATTTTAGCCGCTAATTCGATTTTTCTTCGATCTAGAATATGATAAATCAAATATATTTCATTAAAAAAATATAAGTAAATAAAAAAAAGATTTATATAATTGTAAATAATGTTAACTGTAATTAAATTTTTCCCCAGTTGGAAAAGCGGGTGACATTTCACGAGCATCTGCGACCAATTTGTTTGCCTCCACCGAATTTTGATCTAAAGCCAGGAACAATTTGCACCGTTATTGGCTGGGGTAAAAAGGAAGATGCGGAAAGTGAGTGATATTTTACCAAATTCATTATTACTCGGATTAATTATAATTCTTATAATTTTAATAAATACAATAAAAAGAATGTCTTATATTAAGAATTAACGGAAAAAATTTTTTTTTTCATTAGCTTCTGAATATGAACCTGCCGTCAACGAAGTTAATGTCCCAATTTTGAAGCGAGAAGACTGTAATTCATGGTTGGGACACAAAGATCTTAACATAACTGATGGAATGATTTGTGCCGGATATCCGGACGGAGGAAAAGACGCGTGTCAGGTAAATAAAAAATAAATTTCTTGAGACACAAATTTTGAAAAAATTTAAATAATTCCTATTATTACTTCTATAACTATTAATATTAACAGTTATTGCTATAACAATTTTTATTACCATTATAACTTATTTATTTTTTGAATTTTCTACTTGTGAAATTAAATTAAGACTTTTCCTTTAAATTTAAAAAGGAAACAAAATTTTCCATATAAATTTTATTTGAGTTTTCTTTTATACTGTTTTCTTTTTCAGATTTGAAAATGATTTACAAGATCTCCATGTTTTTAAAATTTGGAACGTTAAAATGAATTAAATATTTTTTCAATTATTGGGCATTCCAGGAAAAATTGTCATTAAAAATTAATTTTTCCTTTTGCTCGCAACAATTTTCTCTGAATTCTGTGTGAAAAATAAGAAAACACGTATTTTTTTATTTTGCTATTAAATAAAAATTGTGGAAGTTTTGGTTACTTAAATTCGACTTCGAATTCGGCTTCTGAAGAAGTTGGATTTAAAATAATCACAATTTTCACAATTTTCATGTAATAAAAAACAATAATTACTATTTTTCTTATTTTTTATATAGAATTCCAAAAAAAATTGTTCCAAACAAGAAAAAAATTTTTGATGGAAATTTCACATGGAATGACCAATGTCCAGGCTTCGCATTACGCATTCATCTACTAAAACCTACTATTTACTACTTTTTTTACGTTATGCTACTATTTGGGTACTTTTTTTAGATTTCAGCAACTAAAAGCTACTATTTCTGTTTTTTTTTAAGAATTTCCACTACTTTAAATTCGCTAATATTAGAAATCAAAAAACTATTCTCAAAAATTATAATCAAATTCTTTAAAACGATTCAATTATTTTCAAAAAATATTCGAAATTCAATTATTTCCAATATCTAATATTTTCATCAAATTTCGCAAAAGAATTCAATTATTTAAAAAAAAACTTTTTGAATTCATCCAAAATTCAATTGTTTTTGTAAATAATAAAATTTCCACCAGGAATTCAATTAATTTTAAATATCATTTTCAAAAAAATTTCGAAAAATCAATTATTCATCAAAATTTTGAAACAATTATTCACAATATTTCAAAATTTTCACTAATAATAACATTTTCCATAAAAATTCAATTTTTTAGAAAAATTTTGAACAAAATTCTAAGCAAGAATTCAATTATTTTCATAAATAATAAAACTCATCGAAGAATTTCAATTACATATTTTTTATATTATTTTAAAATAATTAATCGAACAATTCAATTATTTTTACAAATAAGGTTTTCCACTAGAATTCAATATAATTTAAAATAAAATGTTCATAATATTTATTATATTTCGAAAAAATTAATTATTTAGAACAATGTTTATAAAATTCTTATGATAAATTCAAATATTTTCAAAAATAACCAAATTTTTTCACAGAAATTATTATTGAAATTTTTAAATTAAATTATTTTTGAAAATTTTAATAAAATTATTTTTGAAAATTTTAATAAAATTATTAGCAACTATTCAATTATCTTCATAAATTTTGAAATTCATCGTAGGATTTCAATTATTTTTATTACAATTTTACAGGAATTGCTCAAAAAATATAATTATTCTTAAAAATTTATTTTCATTTCTCGAAAAAATCAATTATTTAATAAAATGTTTTTTTTAATTCTTTGAAAGAATTCAATTATTTACAAAAATATTAGAATTTTTCACAGGAATTCAATTATTTTCAAATATTTTAATAGAATAATTGTTCGATGGAAATGAATTATTTTAAATACAATTTTTATTAAATTTTTTTTGAAATAATTCAATTATTCTTTTAGATTTTAATAAAATTCTTTGCAAAATTCAATTATTTTTATCAATAACAATATTAATAAACTTCTTTACAAGAATTCAATTTTTTACATAATTAATTCTTTAAAAGAATTCAATTATGTTGATAAATAACAAATTTATTTCCGAAGATTCAATTATTTTGAGTCATTTTAATAAAATCCATTGGAAAATTTAATAAATTTCTTCTTGGGAATTCAATTATTTTTAAAAGCTCTAAAAAAATCGTTGGCAAGAATTCAAGTATTCTCAAAAATTTTAATTGAGTTCTTTGTAAAATTTAATTATTTTTAAAAACTTTTCGGAATTCAATGATTTTCAATGTCTACTATTTTCATAAAATTTCCAAATAGAATTCAATTATTTAAAAAAATTTTGTAGAAATCTTCGTAAGATTTCAATTATTTTCATGAATAATACAAATTTCTTAGGAATTCAATTATTTACATTATAATTATTTACATTATAATTTGCATAAAATTAGTCGATAGAAATGAACTATTTAAAAATTTGTATAAAATTCTTTGCAAGAATGAAATTATTTTTTTAAATATTTAAATTCTTTCACGAATAATAAAATTCTTTGCAGGAATTTAATTTATTAGCAGGATAAGAAAGAAGTAAATATTTTTGATGAAAATTAGGAAAAAGTCAGGAAAATAAAAAATATGAAATGGAATTTTTGTCACTTTTGTGAAGTGTCTAAAACGAGTTTTCTTGGTCGTCAAGTTTAATATTTCGAAAGCTACTTTTTTACTACTTTTTTTAGTTTGAAAGCTACTTTTTGCTACTTTTTTAAAATTAATTATCGAGTGCGAAGTCTGCATGTCAGAATTAATCATAATTATGTCGGTGATAAAAATACATTTCTTTCAGTGCATATTTGTTATATTTAATAATTATAGAAGAACAATAATTATTATCATTATTAATTAATGAATTTTTCGAAGCCGTATATAATTATAATTAAATAAAAGATCTAAAAATAGTTTTTGCCTAATGGCGTCAGCCATTAGGTCAAATATTATTTTTAGATCTTTTATTTAATTATTATAATTATTACTTTACATTAGTATTTAATAATTTTGTTAATTATTCTTTTTCTTCCTATTATCATTTTATTATTTGTACTATTTTTATTATTTTTCCTTAATATAAAAAATACCTTTCATAAATTTATTTCTCAATTTTTAATATTCAAACTTTAGAAAAGGGAGAAAAAAAATTATAATAAAGGTGAATAAAGAGGAGAAATGATTGAGAAAAAAAAGAGAATCAAGAATTTTTTCTCTCTTCTCTAGGGTGATTCGGGCGGTCCATTACTTTGTCAAGATGAAGAGGACAAGGAGAAATGGTTTGTCGGTGGAATTGTCAGTTGGGGAATAAAATGTGCTCATCCAAAATTACCCGGAGTTTATGCTTACGTACCAAAATATGTGTCTTGGATTCATAGTGAAATTGAAAAATACTCGGATGACGATGCAGGGTAAGAAGAAAAATTCACGCGTAAAAAAACAAAAATAAATAACGTGTGACGGTAAGGAAATTGAAAATATAGTCAAAAAAAAAAAATATCTATTCTATACTTATAATAGAAAACGTGTCAAAAATCAAATGAGGAGATAATAAAAATACAAGAAATAGCGACGAAATAACTTTTAGAAGAAATCTCTCTTTTTTCTCAAAAAAAAGAAGAGAAGAGAAGAGAAGAGAAAGAGGAAAAAGAAGAAAAAGAAGAAGGAAAAGAAGATAGTCAATAGAATAAAAAAGAGTCAATAAGAAAAAAAAATCGAATAAGCACTGTCTTTAGAAAATATAATTCTTTCTCAAAATTGACAATATTTCGGGTATTTTTTGAAAAAAAGAATTATTGCAAACAAATATTTTTTTAAGGAATATTTAACAAACGTTTTTGAATAAACTTGAAATATTTTGACTACTCAACTTTTAATAGTTTGAATACTCTTCTCTAAATATTTTGAATACTCTTCTGAATATTTTCCATATTTTTTTAAACTTATTTATTTATGCAAATATAGGGCAAGAATCACATTCGTACGAATTTCGAAAATATATTTCAAAGTAGCTAAATTTTTTTTCTGAAATTTAAAATCATTTTCAACAAAAATTCTTTTACTTTTATCTAAAATAATATTAGTGAATATTAATTAATATTGATTAATTATTAACTCATTAATAATAAATAATAATTAATTATTAATTCATTCATATTATTATTAATAAATAATTATTATTTATTAATTTAATTATTAATTATTTTCGTTTTATAAAATTGAGTACTTTCGGTACGATTGGGACATTTGCCCGCAAATAAATAAGTAATTCTAATATTAACAGAAATAATTGAAATTTATAAGTCCCATTATTTTTCTTTTCTTTTTGCTACTATTTTGAACTAACGAAATGACAATCGTAGTCAAAAAAAAAAAAAAAGTTATATAGATAGAATAAATAAAGGGATATGCTGGCTTTGATATATCATAAGAAGAAAATTTAAAAATGACAATTTTATGCGTGTAAAAAAACAGAAGTCAATTTTTCTATATCATGAATTTGAGTATATCGTGCCATTTTACAAAAATACCCAAGAAAAAAAACAATGAAAAAAAAACGACGCTGCGTAAGACGCGAAAATACATAAAGAAATTAAAAACAAAAAACAAAGGTGGAAATGGAAATAAATACACACACATATACACATATGGTAGAAATAGAATATTAACAAGTTTAACATTAATTAATGAGAAAATACACAAGTCAATAAATGACAAGAATATTCTCAATAAATGATCAGTAAAACTTTTATACATGACGTAACTTAAGAAACGGAAGGTTCGATACGAATTTCGTGGACAATACTATTTTTAATAATCAAATAAAAAAAATCCAACGCATTTCAGTTGAATATAAAGAAAGAGAAAATGTAATTTTAATGACGAATTTAGATAATTGGGAATTACGATTATATATTATGATTGTAAATAACAATTATAAATTTTATATTTTTATTTAATTTTATTTATTTTTATCTTTATTACAAAATATTGTACTTTTAAAATTAAAAAATCAATTCGAATTTAATATTACCTGAAATACAAAATTAATTTTCAACTCAATAAATTCTCAATTATAATTTTTTGCATTTTTGTCTAGACATTTTTCAAATTATTATGACAGTTACTTTTTCACGTAACATTAAGTAAAAAGGATGATTTTAATTTTTAAAAAGGGGTTTCAATTTTAAAAAAAGTGATTTTTAAAATTAATTTTCTAATTTATTAAGTCACGAATGATGAAAAAAATTAATGACAATCTAAATTAGACTTCATCGCTTACAAATATTTGAAATGAAAATTTACAAAATGAATATATTTTTTGACATTTTCTTTTAACTCAATTAACTATCAATTCCTCAAAAATATTGCAATATTTTTTATTAAATTTCTTCTCCATATTTTTCGTCAATAAACGAATCAGAATTTTTAAATTATTTATTTAATAATTATATTTTACTTTTAATATATAATATTGTAGAAATATTTCAAAATGTTTACTTACAAAATGAACTCGATAGGAAGAATTTTTTTTAACTCACCTGAAACAGAAAAAAAAATTGTTTATATTAGAATTATAAAAAAAATAAAGAATGAATTTAATTTTTTAAAACAAGGATTCAATTTAAAAAAAAGGTATTTTATTTTTTTTAGTTTCAGAAAAACTAAACAATTTTTTTGAATTTAAAAAAAAATAATTAACTGCGATCCCTCAACTATTAGAATACAAAAAAATGTTTGAACGTTTAAAACTTAAAGGAAATTAAATATATAAATAAAATACAAAGAAATATTATTTAAATATAATTGAAAAAATTTATGTCAAAATACGTAAAATAATTAGGAAATCAACTGAAAAGCGTTGCATTATTTTTTATGTGTACTTTTCAGCGACGACAAATCGCGTTTAGTGCTTAGTAATTTTATTACTAACATGAAATAACAGGAAACATATAGTAAGGTAATGAACCGCCATTCCTATTGTATTTCTCTAGCGAAGTTCAGATAATATTGCGATCATCTTAATCACAAATTTTTTTAAAATTATTCCATTTAATAAAAAAGAGAAAAAAAAAAATAAACAGAAATTTTATTTTTCTACATTTTTATGGTGATGTGTGTGCTGCAAAAAAAAAATTTCAATCAAATTTTCATTCTTTTCATAAATTTAAATTCGCAATTTTATTGCAAAAATTTTCTGCTACTTAAAATATTAAAAAAAAATTACTTAATTTTTTTTATCCATTTTTTGTTAATAATAATAATAATAATAAATTATCTAATTAATAATTAAATTAATTAATAAAATTTTAATTATTTTTCTTCTTTTAACTTATTTTTTGCATTCAAATTAACAATTTATTAAATAATTTGAAAATTTCCAAGAGTTGCTACATTTCTTTTTCTGAGCACAATTTTCTAAACACTTGTGAAAGAAAAACGAAAATTTCAATTGAAAAATTTTTTTTCATCAAATTATTCATCACTGTATTAAGTGTAGAAAAAAAGAAATTTATCTTTATAAACAAAAGAGGGGAAAATACGCATAAGATGCGAATAAAAATATTCTTCTAAGTCCTTATATAAACTCACAGAGATTCGACTCACAAAAAATAGTTGCGAATCTCTCTAAGAACAGATTTCTATTTTTTTCCCGTCAATTTAATTTTAATACGCGAAAATTTCGAAAAAACAAAAAAAAATATAGTCAATTCTAGCAATTTATTTATTTAATTAAAAACAAAAAATAAAAATTTGTTTTCAAAATATTTCCCTATTAATTATATTTTATAGATAAAATTTTCACGAAAAAAAATTCACCCACAAATAATAGAGAAAATTAGTTTGTTCCGCAAAAAAAAAAATGATTCAAAAATTTTCCTCAATGACTTTAAATTTAAAAAAACACAGGAAGATTATTGCATCAAATGCAAGAAAAAAAAATAACCACGTTAATCGTGAATGAATATTTAAAAAATATTATACAATTATATAGAGAATGACGCAAATGTATAACGAAAAAAAAAGATTATAAAAAATAGTAGTTTTACAGTTTTTAGTACGTAAAATTTTGTGTTTAATTTATATGTGAAATAATTATATAATGCAATAATATGAAATAATTGTGTAATTAGTAATTACTAATTATTGACAATAAGAAAAAAAATAATGTTCTCTATACTTAAACATTTTTGTCTAAACTGATAGAAATATATATTTAATTTGTTAATAAACAAATGTATATGATATTCAAGACGGAAATATAGTTCATCTTGGAGGATCGATTAAAAAAAATATAATAAATAAAAAGTAAAATAAGAATAAGAATTGAAGTAAAAATATAAAGTAAAATTAAAATTAAAATTAAAATTAAAAAGAAAATTAAGATAACTCAAATTTAAGATAAGTAAAAATTAGAAAGTATAAAACAGCTTTTTAGTAGAATATATAAAATGTAAACAGCAATGTTCATATATATAGGATAAATAATAGTAAAAAAAAAACATGTTGACTGAATTCTAGGGATAAAAACTGCACCAGCACTTTTTTTAATCTGCACTCAAAATGAAAGAGCTTTATAAAAAAAAATATATACTTTATATAAAGAATTCATATTGTTTATGAAGAAAAAAACTAGGAGCCTTACTAATTAGACTAATTAGACTTTACTTACTTAGATTGCTTAGACAACTTTTTCTAAGCTATACGATAAAAAATAGTATTGTTGGTAAAAAACCATTGACAAAATATTTTTTTTTCAATTTTAGTTTTTTCGCAATTTCCAAAAAGAAATTTAATTCAACATTAAATTTTTCTTAAAAATTATTTATAACTTTTCAAAAAGTTAAAAAAAACTTAGAAACTTATTCAAAAAGTTTAAAATCTTTTAGAAACTTTTCCAAAAGTTAAAAAACTTTCAGAAACTTTTTAAAAGGTATTAAAATTTTTAGAAGCTTTTTAAAAGGTTTAAAAATTTTCAAAAACTCTTCTAAAGGCTATAAAAACGTTCATGAACTTTTTAAAAGGTTTAAAAACTTTCAAAAACATTTCAAAAGATTCAAATACTTTTAAAATCTTTTCAAAAGCTTATAAAACTTTTAAACAGTTTTCAAAAGATTTTAAAAGTTTCAAAAACTTTTCAAAAAGTTAGAAAACTATCACCAACATTTCAAAAGATTTTAAAACTTTTCGAAAATTTTCAAAAGAGTTTAAAACTATCAAAAACATTTCAAAAAGTCTTAAAACTCTCAAAAACTTTTCAAAGAGTTTTAAAATATTAGAAATCTTTTCAAAAATAAATAAAAGAAAGTGAAAAAAATATTAAAAAAATAAGAAAAAAATAAAAAGGATAATAATATCCAAAATTGAAAACCAAAAATTTAGGTATTACATAAATAAGAATTTTCTTCTTGAAAAAAAAGTTTGGTGAAGTTCATAACGTTTATAAATAAACAATTTAAAAAGAAAGATATTTTTCTATACAACTTTTGGTCTAGAAATTTTTTTCTAACAGAAACAAGAAATTTCTTCATTGACAATTTAAAAAATAAAAATTTGTAAACAAAAAATATTTTTTTTCGTCTAATCGTTGTGAATTTTATCGACATCAGCTAAAAGAGGATTAAAACTTTTCGGAAAAAAAACTTCTTTTACAAAAAATCAAGGATAAAAGTAAAAAGAGAAATTATTGGAAAAAATTTTCATAAAATAATTTCGCC